ATACATACATACATACTTACATACTTACATACTTACATACTTACATACTTACATACATACTTACATACTTACATACTTACATACTTACATACTTACATACTTACATACTTACATACTTACATACATACAAATATACCCATACATCCATACATACACATGCCGGGCAGGCACCATCCGGAATTGGATACAAAGCCGTGTGACGAAGCTGCATCGATACCTTCCAGCTTAAAGTGTGATGGAAGCTAAGTTCCATGGGTCTTGCAAAAAGTATTGCTGCTAAGAAGGCCCACCCTTCGGCAGGCAATCTGGACTGGCTTTGCGAGGTTGGACGAATGCGCGGTCGAGGCCTGCTGGAGATCTGAGTTCAGTGCGGCATGTTGGGGGCTTGCAGGCTTCAGGCCTTGTGTGGTTATCGTTGGCTTCTGATGATGATGTTTTTTCGTGAGCCAAGGTTTGGAAGTTGCAGGTCCGACTCCAACTATAGATCCGCAGGCGCGGCGAAGTGACGGTTGCGCATTGACGCCGCAGGGCTGGCTTTGGCCGGGGCAACAGTCAGGAACCAGGGCTCCAGGCCACACCTATTTGAGGCTTAGGGCGGAGCACGGATTCAGAGGCTCACATCGCGTAATTAAAAGCGAGAATGGAAGCGAGAGCACCAGGACGTCCCAAAAGCTAATTGACAAGTTGTCAGCCAACGCAGGCACTTCCCAAATAACGATATGGCAATGTCGACGAGATACCACTGTTTCTCTTGAGCCAAGCAGCGCGAGTTGCTTCATGTCCTCCTTTTGCAGAGGCTTTGGTTTTCCCCAAGGAAAGATTCTCTTGTGATACAAGCATGGCCGGCATTGGTTCAGGAACCGGACAAGGAGCTTCCAGGTTCCCCAGCTCCGGACGAGTTCGATGGGCTGTGAACGCCGGCGGACTTTCCGAGGCAGCAGGTGGTATCATGGCAAGCAGATCGTCACAGCAACGGGTTATCGGTCCGTCCGCATGCACCTCTTCATCGTCAGATTGCGGCCAATGGAACCAACGGAGGCAATTCCTCCGGATTGACACGCTTGCTTCATAAACATCGTTCTTTCCGTTGGCACAGATTGCAATCACAAGTGCAAACACACCAATCCTGAGGAGAAAGTGCCTTGCCGCAGCGAGAGCAAAACAATGCCGTTACAGAGTCCTTCAGCCAGAACGCCAGAGAGGTTCCTGGAAAGGATGTCGGGTGAGGCCAGGTTCGGCGAGTAAGAACCACAACTCAAAGGGCCTGCAGACTCCGCGGCCAACCCCCTCCGCAGAGTTGAAGCGATGCCAGCAGCTCAAGCCAGACGGCTTTGATCATGTGCGCAGAACGTAGAGAGGCGGCTGGGAAGTCTCATGTGCCAACAGAGCGGCGCCGTGAACCTGGCGGTAAGGACCTGTGGGATTGGAGACAAATTCTCGGCTTCAACTCCAGGGGCCGGCTACAAGCAGCATCGGTTTTTCTCGGAGGGGTAGTTTCTTGTTAACTCGTCGTTGTTCCCCTTTCCTTTCTTTTGGGATGGGGGGTGGAAGAGGCGGGGGCGGATTGGTACCGTGCACAGCCGTTTCGGCTGTAGTCTCCGACCCCCCTCAAGCAAAAAAGCACGCCAAACTTTCAACCGAGCCCTGCACTGCTCCATTTAAGCCAATACTCGCGAACCCGAGGTTCAGGCTTTGGCTGTCGGGTTCTAGGCAACACCTTTGACCTGCACTGCTGTTCACTCTCGCCGAACTTCAATGCGAAACCCTAGCTCTTGTAGTAACTCTCTAATTAGTTTGATAGTTAGATGCTAAGCCCGGAACCTCGAACCCGAACGCACAGACAACTCGACATCCCCAAACCCCGAAGCCACGAACCCTTAGCCCTCGAAACCGCATCGCTAAGTGGGAGGGGAAAGAACCGCATCGCCACTTCAGTTCTCTCGGGATCCCTGCGGTGCGACAGCTGACGACCGCATCGTACTATCCTTAGTTTGTGGAACCCTTCCAGCAATCCAATCCTTCAAGGAACCCTGAAGCAAACAAAGCCAGCAGGCGGTGGTGCAATAAATCCAACCTTTACCGGGGATTAAAGTGGCTGTTGAAAATTCAGACTCCTCGACACTAAACCCCCAACCTTGGGCCTTCATCCGCACAACACCACGTCCCAAAACTGTAATGCTATTGACTCTGAAACCGCTAGTAGCCTTTTCTGCTGAAGACAAACTCGGTGCAAAACCTACTGTAGGCATTGATTGAGGCCATCGGCTGTCGCACAAGGGATCTGGCGGTCACGCGGGAGCCACGAAAGAAGAAAAACAAACTAAAGCAACAACTCAGCCCCGTTTTCCCGTCGTCTGCCAACAGCTCTCGGCCAGCTATAGATTCTAGCCGTTCTCTTATGACGTTGGCTCGAAGGTGGAAGTGGTCGGACCTCCAGCTTCGAAACGGAGCTTGTCAAATGGTAAGCGCTGCTTTGCTATCACGCCACAGCATGCGAACAACATGGCCCCGGCATCAAGTCACAGTCACGAATGAGATTAGACCTTGGGCCGGGGCCACCAATTCATAGTCACAGGTCGGCTGAGTGATAAAGCTTTTGCGAACTTTCGCCAAGTCATCAAAGCTCATCAAGGCTCCATGAATAAGAAGGTGAGGCTGCATCAGTGGGACCGATCAGCTTAGGGCCAGCTTGCACGGACATCGAAGACGGTTGCCTGTGTCGGAGCCCATACGCCAAGCATTTTCCGGAATGGCGGCGCTTCGCTGCGCAGGTGACCTAAGATTTGTTGACCTTTTTCCCATGCATGGACACTTGCAAGTTTCTTCGACATCCTGCAAAGATCGGCAAAGATTGCAACATAGATCTGGCCTTGTGCGAATCGAAAGCCAGAGGAGGCCACCGCAGGAGGAGTGGTAGTCCCTGGTAGTCGGGAGTTCGGCAAGAGCTTCAAAGGCGGCCAGCTCTTTTTCAGCCGGGTCCTCGTCGGCGTATTCTTGGGTCTCTTCAAGCGCACGGATTCGATTATCCATTACATGGATAAACTCCGCAACCTCTTGACCTGGTTCTCACCGTTGAAACTTCCGGTTGTCACATGTGAAGGCACATCAGTGGTCCAAGCACCTAGACTCTACTGTAGACCAAGTCTGCAAAGGTCATCCCACAGTTCCTTTGGAACTCGACTGACCCTTCTTCCGGGGCCTGCACATGGCGACATTTAGCATTTTGCAAGACAAAGACTCGAGCCTCATCCACATTCCGCGGTCAGATACGCATGCACGGGAATCTGATCTTGTACTTGGGCTACCTGATCTTGTAGGCGGGTTGGTACCATGACCTGCATTTTGCTCGCTGCTGCAGGGCACTTCGGCACAGAACAGGTGAAGAAAACTCAATGCAAGCCCTACTCCGAACTAGCATCATGCACCGTGTTTCCCTCTAGAGAAAATGCGCAGTCGTGGCTCATGCAGGCAATTTGCTTCTAGGCGAACTGCTTACATGTTTCTTTCCAGTTCTCGTTTTCCGTACCTCTGCCCTTTTCCGATTCACCCGGTCTGGAGGAAACACCATCAGCAGCGAAAGCAATCCTTGTCCACTTGTCCTTCACTGCGAGGGCCAAGATCCACAATTCCATGCAAAGCCGGGCCCAAGACGTTTAGCTTGCACTAGGGAAGCCTCACGTCCAGCCACAGCTGCTTGCCCAGAAGGTGCGGTCGGTCCGGTCACTTACCTCGATTGATCACCAGATGACAACCCAACCCTCCTCCGAGAAGTTACGTCCTTTACACGAGCTCCCGAGAGTCACATGAGTCGCCGGCGGTCCGGATCGTAATCCATCGTGCAGAATAAAGCAAACTTGGACTCGTGACCCGTGCATCGCGATGTGCTTTATGTCGTTGTTGCGCCCGGGCTTTGGCCTCTTGCGTGATACCTGTAATTATTTGCGTTGCTTTCACGTTTACGGTACTTAGTGCTGCAGGTTCCAGTCGTGGCTACGGTACATGTGCACGTTGAGTAGTGGCATGTCCGCCAATTTTATGTCCTTGCGTCAACATCTAGAGCATGTCCACAGCTAACGGAACGCGGAAGAGCGTCAGCTGCCAAGACGAACAATGATCGATGGCTTGCGGACTCACCTATAATAGACAACTCACTGCAACAACAGTGATCCCAAGTTGCCTAGAGTCCCTGAGCCTAGCACTTTTGTTGTCGGCATTGTTGTTCCTTCCATGTCGGTCGATTCCCGTGTTCTGTTGATGGCGGTAATGCGTGGGTCACATGTCGTGATGCTTTGGACAAGTATGTGCAGATGAGCCTCCGTTGTGCCCGGAAGGCAAAGTACCTGTTGCTGGAGCAGCCCACGGCAGGCTGCCCGGCTGGCACCAAGAGCCTGGAGTCTGTAGCTTGGCAGCCATTCGACAGCGCAGTCGTTGGGTCTGAAGCGGAGTGGGCGGAGCGGTGGAGTTCCCAATGAGCACCACACGCATCTTCATCATTCATGGCGTCGTGTGTGGTAGCGTTTGAACATGCAGCGGCTGACACTTGACCTGCCTGCCTCTTGGAGTCCTAGGTAAGTGAATGCAAAGCAGCTGCTGCAAGGCTACAACGGACGTGTCTCAGCAAAAGTGCGAGCTGCGAACAGTCTCCTCCCACAACCTCCTGCATTTCACAGCCTGTCTGAACGCAACAAAGGCTAGCGTACGAAGACGAGATCTACCAAGAGCACTTCGACCTCGACCATCCGAAAGACGAAGGGAATTTTTCTGCTGGTCACAGATAGAGGTCAGAACCAAGAAACGATGCTAAGGAACGACCCCAGGGGTTGCGTGTTTCGCGTACCTGACAATGACCTGTACTTCAATGATGCAGAAGAAGGCACCCGTCGCCGTGGGAGTCACCAGACGTCACCTTGGCATCGAACTGGTTCCCTGCAGCAGGCACAGCGAACTCAGCTCGACGCCTGGTCTGCAGAGAGAACTGAAACCACCAGAGGCTGTACATTGCCTTACTTAGCCTGAGTTGTACATCCCATGTCATGTGACAGTAGCTTTCTCACCCGAATGGCTACTCGAATGTCAATGTCTGAAAATTCTGTCGCAGTATCAAACCGAAATTGTGAAGTGCTACAGTGTAAAGGGTGGCCAACCTTGGTGCGATTCAGCGTCAAGCACTCTCAAGAGTGACAGATCATCTTTGCCGACATAGACAAAGTCGGCTCTCCTACGATGCATGGCAGCCTTCCAAAGAGTGCTGGAGGCTAAGACCTGTACAGAGGTAGATGAAGGCCGGGGAATTGCTACAGACTCAGGAAAGCCTTGCCAGTCTGTGCTGAGACCCCGAACTGAGAATGCAGAAACTGTCAAGCGAAGCTGGAATTCCACACGCTTCAGCGACTGTGGCTCGAGGCTCGATGTTCAAAGTCTCGTGGACTGGCACAGGTCAAGGAGAGTCAGGAGAGGTTGGAGCTTGGCATGCTGTTTTTCTCGCCGGTTGCCGGGGCGAAGCCATGAGCCATGGCAAAAGGACTTGTGAAAGGCGCTCGCCTTCACATGCCTTCACAGTGCTTAGAAGCGACGTTTGTGGATTAAGTTCATAGAGCTGAGGGAGGAGCCGAGGAGCTCCATGGAAGCTTTTACTTGCCCTTAGCTGCGTCTGGTGGTGCAGAGAGGCTTTGTCTCCAAGCCGCGGCCGCCGTCACGCCAAGGCGATTCGTCTCTTTAAGATGGCTTAGAGGCTTAAAGCCTTCTCCGTGAGGACCTCTGCCAGCTGTGAGGTGATCTTCTTCATGCGGCTCGTATTTAAAGGTGGTGGAAGAGGTTAAAGAAGCAGAGGCAGTGCCTTAGAGGGTGGTTGGGGCTCTTGGATCAATGTTCTGTTCGGATGCCCTAACCAAGGGATACGCTGTTGGCATGGATGTTATGATGATTTAGGCATGGATGCTGTAAATCACGACTGTTAACGGATGTACTGCTGGCATGGACGTTGTCATCGTCTGAGCATGGATGCCCCAACCAACTGGCGCACTGGCGGCATGGACATCACCATGGTTTGCGCATGGATGTCTGTAACCCACGGATGCACACACAGGTCGCATGACTGCTTTAAGCACCGGGTGCACTGCTCTCACCGACGCTGACGTTACCTTGGTTTGTGCATGGACGCTTTAATAAGCAGATGTGCTGGGGCATTGGTTGCACCCTGGTTTGGGCATGGATGCTCTAAGCAACGGTTGCAGTGGTGGTAGGTAATGGACAATGCGACTTGTCACAAGGATGGTGCGGTTTTGCTCCTGTGCAGTCTGAACTAAGGGGTTACTCAACTCCCTCAAACCTCCAGTAGGGCCTGCGCGAGACCAAAGAATCGGAAGGAAGAAGGTGTTTCTTTCGCACCTACAGGTACTCACAGGTGGTCCTTCGAGGTGAGGCGCTCGAGCACCTTTTGACAGCGCGAAACGCCCGGGAACTACTGAGAGTGCTCTGTTGAAAGTGCCTCGAAACGGCAAGTCACGATGCCGAAGATGTGTTTCGTAGCGTTAAGACCGTTGTTTGATTTTTTGCGGTACTAGTAGTGTGTGTTTGCACTGCCGATTTGCAAGTACATGCAGGCAGCAATGCCACCTCCCTCGATGGTACGCCAACTGCTGCAGTAGATGCTGGGCTGCACATGAGCAGAAAGATGGTGCAGGTAATTCGTACTTCGTCGTCCTTGAAGATCCTTCAAGCGCCCTGCTTTGTTCACGCGGGACTGCGCCGTTTCCCCTTGTGGAGAACTGACCGGAATTCAGAAGTGCAGAGGTCAGGACGCCTGGCATTCGCCGGATCCTTAAGCCTCCACAAGTTGCCAGGGTTTCAACGGCAGCGATTGGGTGTAAAGTTCTTTCGAGTTTCAAGCCGGGACAGACCCAGACGTCGCTAAGGAGAAGTTTTGGGGCAGCCTGTGAGAGTCTGCAACGCACTGAGGTCGTCGAATCTTCCAAGAGGCCATGCATTCCGATCATTCCTGTACACTACTGCGAGACCTTTGTTCATGGCAGTGTGCCGTACGTAGAAGGGCATAGAAGCTTTGTGCATCTACACTCACTTGGTCGTATGCTTGTGTCCGCAAGCCTTTGAATCGCCTTTGAACGATTCTTGGTCTGTCAGGCTCGACACCACCTAGGCGGGGCGTGTTGCATCCAAAGCCCAAACACTCGTCACTGAAAGTGTTGGGCAGGTAGCTTAGTGACGCAGTGAACTGCAACACAGCCAGAACTGCAGCGCTCATGGACTCAAGCTTGCGGTTTCCGTTGCAGCTCAAATCAAGAGTTCAGGTCGAGGTAAGGCCAGCGCTCAAATCATTTCAACACGGACCTGGCCAAAGCGCATCCATCGGCTTGCGTATGCCAGCGCAAGCCCGTGCTTCGATATGCCAGTACCCCAATTCAATGCAGTCATCACAACGACGGTTATGTTTGGTCCCTCTTACCAAGAGGAAAAGAAATTGATGTGTTGTAAAGTTTGTAAAGCAAATGCTGAGATCCATCGCTGTCTCCGCGGCATGGTTTGGTGACACCATGCGGCTTCTGAGATCCATAGTTTGGTCTGCATTTTGTCAGTGGCCTGTCGTTCATGTTTTCCTTTAGCAAATGCTGGATCTGATGTCAGTGATTCGTGCAGCCGGTGCTCGAATCATGGCTTTGAGTTCAGTTCCGAATGCGTTCCTCGTGTCGTCCGGTCTGGATCGCGAACCTTCTTTAACCCGCCGCCCAAGCTCAAAGCTGCGGATTTGAATAGCATGCGTGCAAACATCTTCGCGATGAAGGGCAAAGGTCTGTGCAGTATCACAATCTTCTAAGCAAGTAGAGACAAGCAGGACATCACACACAGCATTCCTTCGGAGAGAGCTTTTTACATAGAGTGGAAAGCGAGAAGACATGATGTTCTGCTGCTGTGTTGCTGACGAGAAAGTGGAGAACAGCATTGCTCTTCCTCCTGTGATTCCTGAACAAGACCAACAGGATCTACAAGCCAGTGAAAAAGCTTTCGTAAAGTCTCTCGCATTGCAAAGTCTTAGAGGTCTTAGACGGAGGTTGCGAATTTCTTTGCTGTTTCCTCCGGCTGAACATGTGTTTTGAGCCAAGGACAACTCCGGCAATGCAGCCCGAAGAAGCAGCGACGCGCATGCTGGATATCTTTACCGTGATCTTGAGGCAGAAGGATGGGCCACATGGGTTGCAGATTGATGGCACAGATCCCGATTGTGCTCTCGTCAGGGCCATCAAAGATGCTTGTCTGCAAGTCTGCATAGGCTCAGTAATGTCGTTGGTTGTGAGCGACGAAGAGTCTAAGAGCTTATTATGTTATGACAGTTATTAAGACTTTTATGTCACACGACTGATATTGCCGCCTAGGATGGTGCAGTGGCAGAGTGGAACAAGATTACCATGGAGAATCGCGTTAAAGTGTTTGATCGTATTGTCGAGGTTAACGGCACCAAGGGTCAGGCTCCGGATTTGGTGAAAGCTTTGGCGGCCGACTCGGAGTCAACCTCCATTACAATACAAAGGCCGTCCGAGAGACAAGTGAAGTTGCAGAAACCTGGCGAGATTGGTGTCATCCTCAACTACAAGAAGGTGGGTTCTGCAGCCCCGTGGATCTCGAACATCAATGCGGGCCTGCTAAGTCAGTGGAATCAGGAAAGGCCAGAACATGCTGTTCAAACCCATGACCGAATTGTAGCAGTCAACGGAGCAAAGGGTGCGCCGGAGGAACTAATGCTGAAGATGAAAGAGGCAACTTCAACATTGGATTTAAGTATCTTGCACTATGCCGTGGATCCACCCGCCTGAACCCGACATCAGACTCCGCCTACGAGCTCGGCTTATGCAAGAAAAGCGTGGGCAAAGTGGCGCAGAGCATCTAGAACGCCTCGTGGCGGTCTTCTGCTTCTTGCTGTGGAGCAAGTTGCACAACAGTCGTTTCACTGCACTTGGTAGAACTGGATGTGAAGTGCTGAAAGGTGCATGAAAAGAGCGCCCGCAAGAAACCACGCATTTGCAGCGTGCGGTGTTGCAGTTTTCCTGATGGGAGCATGGGTCAGCATGCCTGCAGCAGCACGTTCCTTTTTCTTGAGCCAGCCTGTCCAGATGAGAAAAAGTCCACAGCTTCCAATTCAAGACATGTACGAGCGCTCAGTGTGAAGTTTCATGCAGTATGCAAAGTTCGTTTTGGATTGTGCTGATGGTTGCCTGAGGCATTACTGAAAACTGCCGCAGAGTCATTGACACAATCCATTAGGCATCGGCGTTGATGAGCCAAGATGAAAGAAGCCTGCAGCACGTTGGTTGTCCGGCTGCATGCAGGGAAGCTAGACTTGCGCAAGCCGTGACCGAGCAAATCATGGGTGGTCTCCTCGGAAACTCGCTTCTTTCGCCGCGCTTGCTTCGAAGGTGTTATGAAGGGTTGCAGAAACATCAATCACGAAAGCTAGCGCCTTTGGAGCTTGTGGAAGCTGTCGTGTAACTCGCTTGCGGCTCGACTCGCCATTTCGACTTCCCACCCTCGCCACCCTGATGAAGGGTAGACCGACCTGGGAGACTACGGCGGTACTTGGGGTGGGCGCAGAAGTGCGCACCCCGGCACCGGCACCGAGTTTGGCTGTGTGCCCGGTCGGGGGTGCAGTTCGCGCGACGACCAAAAGGGGTGCTGCACCTGTAGTAGAATTTTTGGGCTAATGCGTCTGTAGCAGGGAGTTTGTTGTGTACAGATTTAGTTTTGGTCGAAAGCGCATGCATGGGGCGCTTGCTCCTGATACATCAGGGATCTAAGAATCTAAGCGTCAGGGTGGGGGCACCTTATTCCCGGAAGGCTGTTCCCCCACGGGTCAGTACAACAGAACTGCTATTAACGTCGTTCAGAGCAGGTTTGGGTCTCGATCAAAACTTGACTTGATCGGATAGCAGCCAGTTCGCAACGTTACGCAAACTTACGTAACACAGCGTGCAAGGAGAACTGCATTCCCACATTCGCGCGCGTACCGTCCCGGGCCACTGGCTCTCGTCCGCTCTGCCCTCAACGCATGGCATGCGGACCCTGAGCGTGTACTGAGGATTAAAGCCAACAGACAGTAGCAAAGCTCCAAAGAATGACATCGCGAGGCTCTCAGGTACAGGTGCTTGCAAATGCTTCGGCTAAGCCGTCGAAGTCTGCAGATGTCCAAGGAGCCTTCGGAGAACAGCACGGGGTGAGCCTCTGAGGCACAAGTGCGACGGCTCCTCCACGACCTCGAGGTTCCGGCTGCAGGTGTTACTCTGCGCCATAATGCAGTATCCCATGTGAGAGATGCCTTTGGCCTGGGGTCCTAGCCTAGCGGCAAGGTTTTTTTGCAGAAGCTGCTATCGACACATTTCAGCGTGTCCTTCGAAATTCACCCGCTGAATGAAGTTGAATGCGACGTTTGAGGGAATTCAGGCAACCAAGCTGGAAAATGGTAGATACATGGTCAGACGCTCCGCGCCCCCCCCTTATTCGGGGTTTAGGGTTTAGCTTAAGCTTTTGAATTTGGGGTTCAGGGTTTAGGAAACAGGAAAAAGGCTTCGAGTCGACAGGGGCTTAGGGAGGGTTTAGGGTGTAGGTTGGTTGGGGTTGACGGTTTATGTTCTGCTTTAGGCTTCGAGCCTGCATTTAGGTGGGGTTTAGGGTTGGGTGTATGGTTTAAAGTGCTGGCTAAGGTTTAGGAAACAGGAACGCGCCCTACATTAGGCTTGCGTAGGGCTTGCGTAAAATCCTGGCTGGCCGCCCGCCAGCAGCCCACCCTCCACCTGCAGCCACCACGGCCCCGACCCTTCTCCGCGCACGCACGCTAGCCCCCGCTCACCCCTACCAGACCAGTGTGTATATACTGTACACATGCATGTATACATATACATCTATCTATATATATA